CCCAGTTCTGTACGAATAAATAAACATATTTTTAAAAAAATCTAACTTTTCTATTAAGGCTATGATAAATTAGAAAATATCTGATAGGTGTGCTTTAATTAAAACACATGTAGCAATCCAGGTTGGGATAAGCACCTGCATTGGTACATTAATTTTAAATAACCTCCCTGTGGATACTATAAGGTAGGGTTAAAATGAATTTATAATCCTGATCTTCCAGTGGATAGTCATAGAAATTTCTACGGAGCAATGTATGTCCTCTTCAAAAAAACAAAATTTTGAAAATTAACAAAAATTATTTTTTAAGACAAAATCTAGCTCTTTGTACTTTTTCCAAATCTCACTGACATAGTCTTTTTGTCAGAAATGTTTTCAAACTCTCTCCAAATTTTGCTTGCAGGATCAGGGAGGCCATGGTGGATTGGGGTCTGATGGGGTTATGCATGTCTTACAGATATTTGAAAGCAAAGTCTATTGTCTTTTGGCAAATTTGTAAATTTACTTTTTGCTGAACTTCATCTTTTCCAACAAAAGATAACAGTTCATGGTGAAATGACATTGTATTTGCAAAGCCTACCTTTCGTTTTAGTTAATAATTAGTAGTGATGATTAAAAATGTTTTGACATCCAAAAGGTCTTTTAATCTCATCTAATTTCACTCTGAAATTATTTCATAGATCTGTATATCTCCACCTAGGGTTAAATTATTGGATACCAGAAAAAGGAAACTGAATTCAGAATTTTCTACAAGAGATGCTTGTTCATTAAGGCTTATTTATCAAAAACAGCCACCTCTCTTTGATGTTGATCTAATCTACAGTGATGAGCTTGAATTCTGAAAGTTATTTTTAAGCAAGTCTAACTTTTGTTGAAAATTTGATCAATTTCAAAGAAAGGTTTTGCAATGCATTTTCTAAATTAGCAACCTATAGGTTAATCAGCTCTGGGACTGCTGGATTTTTAAGGAGTAGTTCTCAATGTGAGGTATTGAGACAGTGGAATACACCGCCTATATAACAAGCACTAAGACCTTTGGCATTAGAGGAAAGCAATTATAAGTATTTGTCACTATCCTTTCAAAAACTATTTACTGAGAAACTGGGTATATAGGAGAGAATGAAAAAAAAAAAAAAGCCTTCTTTGGTGCCTTCCCTGGTAGAGCAATGGGTTAAAGTACCATACTATGAAGTTAGCCACAGATGCTTCGGTATGAATTTGATTCCTGACCAGGGAGGTGACCCACATGGTGCAGCAGACCTGTCTCACAGGCTGCTCCCCTCAGCAGTGTATTTCACTCCATCTATCTATTTGTCCTGCTCCCCTCTGTCTTTGGTGAATCCTCTCACTGCTCCTGCACCTCTGGCCTATACCCCAGTTCTGTATGCATAGATAAATGACTCTTAAAAAAAAAAAAAAAGAAAAACAAATACACAATAAAAACCTTTTCCCCCCAAAATCTCATGGAGTTTCATGGGGGATGAGAGAGATAAAGCAGATAAGAAAAATATTCAGTATGCTTATAGTTTCTGAAGAGGAAAAAAAAAGAGTGGAAGAGGAATAAAATGTGACTATGTGGGAAGGAATATAATTTTACATTCCATGATTTTGAGAGTGAATTGGGAAGAGAACTGGGTGGAGTGAGGCAGAGCTTGGAGAATATTCCAGGCAGCGGCCCAACAAGGTTAAGAGTGAGAGCTTGTTGCTGGAACAACAAGGAGACTAGTGTGGAAAAGTTGGAACTGAGTGAATGAGAAGATAGTATGAGAGGCCTCATTTGTGAATGGGGAACCAGCAAACTATGACATTGTGCGGTGAATATGAAATGATAAAACACCTGGGAAGTGTTTGGTCAGGTCTGGAACACAGCACACTGCCCACCTGGCTTATAGCTATTACTAATAACATGTGGTGGAGAGAGCAGCAGAGTGGAAGACTAGCAAAGTGGTGCCAGAAAGGGGCTGCTGGAGATGATAGTGCTACCTTGCATGGTTTCCTTCTCTTCTTCCTCATGAAAATGGATATGGTAGGCCTAATACTATATTACTGTTACTGTAACATAAGAATAGAAAGAGTAGTGGTCTCCATTATTTCTGATAGCTTTCATTAACCTGCTATCAATTGTGTCCCCATCCTCTAAGACAGTGTCTCTGGTCTTAGAAAAGGAATAATTTGTTCAAATGTATACTCACCTCAAGTCTGCAATAGCAGATGTTCACCTGTTTCTTTTCTCTGCCTCTTTACCAGCAGAAACACTAAGCCTCATTTTCTTTGCAAATATACTTATGATAATAATAGTTCTGCTTCATAAGGGGTTTTTGAGGACTAAAAACAAATACACTTAAAATATTGAAGATGGTTCCTACCTTTTAATACCTGCCTAGTGAATTAGAATTTCAAAATGAGTCATGGGGAGCAAAATGTCTGAAGATCTTAGTGTGCTCTATCCCGCCTAAAGGATTCCATCTGACACCCACCTGATGCCATTTGTATGCCTGCCACTAGGAATTGACAAGTCTCTTACACTCACCTTGGAATGCCCTTCCCTGTCTTTGACCCATCTCCTTGATTACTTTACTACAAGCACCCTGTGGATCTTTCTGGACTGACTGCACTGTTGCTGCTCTGTGATGCTTCCTTTACATCCTCCATGAGTAACTGGGTGCCACATAAGAGCTCTCAAACAGCCTGTACATCTTTGCTTTGTTGCATACTATATTGGGATTACTTGCTTACATGGCTGTTTCTCACTAACCTGTGGACATCCTGACCACAGTGCTATGCTCACTTTTGTTTGCCCAGAAGACAGCCTAACATTACACTACGTGCTCAATAAATTCTTGTAGAACAAACACAAGACTCTTGACCAGCATTTTATAAATCACAGTAACTTATACTTGATCATGAATAAAATGAATCTGCATT